GGGGGGGGCTGTGCCGCCGTCGTGCTGCTTCTGCAACGTGCGCTGACGACCGTCGCCGCACTGCTAGCGTAACGGCTGGCGTAAACTGTATCCCGGGTGTCTAGCAGGTAGACAACTGAAAATCCGCCCCACCAGAACTGGACAATTTAAGTCAACTTCCCTCGGACACCTTCCTCCTTCCCTGATCTTCCGGTTATTACATGAAGACGCCGGCCCATGAGCCCGTGTAGGTCGCAAGGGGTCGCAATTAAAGCTCACTGTGGCCATACGTGTGGCCACGTGAGACTCAATGTGTTAAGTAGTCACATTTTGGCGGTAGGCGGTGACAGCATCGCGATCGTGGTGCACACCCCCTGGATTTACAGTGTAGAGGAGGGCGTTAACAAGAGCACATCACAGCAAGAGCAAGTGCGGCGATTGCGGCCTCGCTATCGGACAGCGCTCGGCCCAGCGGTCCAGCCCTGCTGGCCCTGCCAGTGGACATGTCGTTATCGCCCCCCTCCCTCCCTCCTCCCCCGGAATGTGCTCGCGGACCGCGCGCCATCCCCTTGACGGCGTGCTTGTCCGATGCGGCAGCGCGTGCCGCGGGGCAGGAGAGGTCTAAGTTTGTAACTTCAGGTGCAGCCGGAAAAAAACGACGACGACGCAAGGGGCGTAGCGAGGCGGGGAGGGGGAGGCGTGTCTCAGAGTAGTGTCACAGGCAGCTCGGTCCACGTCCGGGAGACACGGCGGCGGCATGCTGCAAGTGCTGGGCGCCCGTGAGCGAAGGGGCGGCACTTCGGACGTGGCTCTCCTGGGGCGTATGGAGGCTCCACACTTAAATTTAGATCCCTCTCCCCCTATTCTCCCACCTCTTCCGCACCCCTTCCCCCTCCCCTCGCGCGTAGTCACACATGTACACCATCCGTTCTGTCTGAGCCCGCCCCCTCTCTCCTCCCTATTCGCCCCAGGCGACTCACCTCCGGGTTCGTTTCGCACAGAGATTCACACAACAGTTGAACAATAATTTAAATTTCATTGTACGTGCCAATAATGCTATGAACATATCTGATGCCATTGTAATTATGAGTAATTCTCTACACTTGTACATTCTGCATTGATTCTCTTACATACTACTAGTCAAGGACAAAGAAGGACATTCAATCTTAAACAATTTTACGACACAGGGCTGGGACTGAGAGCGTCGCTGTTTTACATTCTATAGCTTCTACAAAAACACATAAATCAAATCGGAGGTAAGTAAATAACCGCCGTGGAAAGTTTGGCTTGAAAAGAGATCCCTTTGGATAGCAAGATTAATCGTGACACAAAACCGCTATTCAGAGGATTTAGTACCCTTTACTGGCGAAGACGATCTCCTCGTTCGCAGTCTGGCCAACTCACTGCACAGCGCAAGCAGCCTTGTCTAAGTCGACGCCGTCCTCGCCGTCCAGGGTCAGAAGCAGGGGCCCCCCTCCGCAGTCTGTTCGCCGGCGCTTCGCCCGGCGCTTCACCCTCTCGCCAGACGGCAAGCTGGTCGGCAAGCTGGAGAACGCCACGGCATCCCCGCCGATATTCTTGTAGGTCCTGGGTGGGCAGGGCGGGTGCGGCCTGTGCCCCGTGAGGATGCTCCTGGCTCGGGCTTTCTGCCTGCGCGGCCGGGGGTCTTCGCCACGACTGGGCACGGACAGCGAGGAGGCGCGGTCCATGGCGGGGAGCGGTGGTGACGGCGACCTCGAAGCGTCGATGGACACCATCCTGGGCGAGGGTGGGCGAGGCTCCCTGACGTCGAGGCTTCGAGTCCTCCGAGGGATCTTGGCTGCCAGCGGCATGTCCTCGCCGGCGCTGCGCGGACGAGATCCCGAGGGGGGGGTGACCGGGTCCACGTCGAAGAACGGCGAGCTGCAAGCGGGCTTCAGAAGAGTTCTGGAGTCGTCTTCTGTTTGCAACAGAGGCCACTCCACCCAGGCGGACTCCTCCGGAATAGCAGGATACGGAGTTGACGGCGGTGGCAGCGCGAGGCGGGAGTCGTCAGACAGGTTGCCGAGCTGCAGCGTGAGCGCGGCAGGGTCCACGCTCACCCACTGGTCCACGAGCATGCGGAGCGCGAGCACGCCGCTGCAGGCCAGGTCCCGCGCCTCGTCCTTGACGGGGGGCAAGCAGGCGGGGGCGACCACGTGACAGATGGGCACGGCCGGATCGGCGCGCACGAGGCAGGCGGCCGTCACGGCCCAGTCGTCCGTGCTCCACACGCGCGCGTGCGAGTCCAGCACCAGCCCCAGGTAGACGGCGTGCACGCCGCGGACGTCGCCCGTTAGCTGGACCACCACGACGAAGCCAGGGACGCGTGGGGGCGGAGGTGGGGTGGGGTCGGCCGCCGGCGCCCTGGCCCGCAGCCGGTAGAGCAGGCCGTCAGCGAGGAGCGCAGTGCCCTGCTCCGCGCCGTCCGGGACGGGAGCGTCCATCTGAGGCTCGGCTGGCACCACCTCCGCGGCGAACACGGATGTCCTCCGCACGCGGTGCGCGAGCAGCAGCAGCAGGAGCAGCTCCATAAAGTGCAGGTCGGAGGGGAGGCCCGCGCTCTGCCAGGCCTGCTGCAGGCGCGCGCTGTGCCACTCCGACGTGTCGGTCACGCTCAGGTTCAGCCGCACCCTCTGGGTCAAGGACGTGGTGGGAGTCGACGGCAGCTCAGGTTGGGGCGTGACGGGGACATGCTCGACGATCTCGAGCTCGACGTGTGAGCTTGGCGCGGTGGGGCCCTGCTCGGAGGAGGGCTCTTCCTCACACCAGACGATGGGCTTGTCTAGATCCGCGGCACCCTCCTGCGTGGGCGCCTCCTTCCATGACAGCTTCTTCAGTCTGTTCTTCTTCTTGACCGTGTTGGGCTGCTTCTTTCGCTGCCTCATCCAGGGCATGGGCTTGGTCGGCTGCGAGGACGCAGCCGCTGCTCGCGGAGCACCGACCACTTCCCCGTCGATTGAGTCGTTGTCCGCGTCTTGGTCCAGGACGATGCTCGGTGGAGAAGTCACCGCAAAGGTCGTCGGCTCCAGGGCCACGCCGCCCCGGGGGCTGGGGCCGCGGAGGCGGCTGCGGTTGGGGCTGCGTCTGCTGCGGCTGCGACTGCGCCGAGGTCCGAGGGCCATGCTGCAGCTGAGGCTACGGTCCGAGCTTCCGGAACTCTGGAAGCAAAAAGCGGAAATGAGAATTGTCTCTCTTATCTGCACGTGACCCATATTTTTTAACATTTTACTGAATTTTTCGAACCTACCGGCGTCCTAAGGGTGTCAGGAGTTTTGGCGAGGCAGGGATCCGGGTGGTCCCCGTGGTGCTTCAGGCTTGCGACCAGCGCCTGAATTGTGGTAAATCTGAGTGCGCTGCTGCCCCGTGTCCTGGGGGAGGACGGGCGGCAGGGACTGAGCCTGGGGCTGAGGTTGGCTGAGCTGGCTGACGAGTGGCTGAGTGTGCGAGGCGGCAAAGGGCGGGGCGAAGTGCGTGGCGAAGTGCGGGGTGAAGTGTGGAGGGACGCTGGGGGCGACGCAGGGGGCGAGTTGTGGTGTGAGTTGAGGGGTGAATTGATGGGTGAATCGCGGGGAAAGTTGAGGAGAAGTGAGATGGGGGTTGAGCTGGGAGGCGAATGGTTGGGCGGCGAGTTGAGCTGCGGTGATTTGGTTGGCGACGAGTTGGGTGGCGATCTGGAAGGCGAGCTGGGGGTTGAAGAAGGCAAGCTGACAGGCAATCTGGGAGGTGAACTGGGCCGAGAATTGGGAGGCGAGCTGCAAGCTGGCGAGGAGGTGAGCGTTGGCGAGTTGTTGTTGCTGTTGCTGTTGCTGCTGTTGGTGCTGTTGCTGCTGCAGCAGCAGCTGCTGTTGGACTCTGGACCTTCCTCGTCCAGCGGTGGGCCTGGGACAAACAAAGGGGCCGCTCTGGAGCCATTGTTTTTCAAAGAGAAGTTGAGCAACTTTGAAATCACGAAACAAAAGCACAAGAACGGGAGGCATCTTAGACAGTATCGAAACCAAAAGGGATGAGGCTCACAAACCCGCAGAGGTGGGCGCTGCGCTCGGCGCCGCGCCAGACAGCGGGATGGACCCCGTTGGTAATTGATGGTGTTGGTGGTGAGCTTTTTGGGACGTTTTCTGTGCCGTGGTCGTCGTCCTGCTCCCCGCCGTTCGACGACAGCTAGGCTCGAGGGCAGCCTGGGCTGCTAGTAGTTGCGCCTGTTGCTGTTGTTTCTGCTCGATGGCCGCGGACAGCATTGCCCGTTGTTGCTGCAGTGCCTGAATCAGGCCCTGCAGGGGAGCGCCACGCAAGCCTATTCCTCCCGGCGTGCTGAGGCGCCGCTGTAGTTCGACCAGCTGCTGCTCCGTGAGCGGCAGCTGAAATTGTCAGGAAACAACAAAACAACTAAAATGCAATCCTTTTCACAAATATTTCGAAAATTTTGATGATTTCTAATGGAACAGAAAATTAGTAGTTTTGGACAACGAAAATTCGAGTTTGTCGACGACGTCCACCACTCACCTGCTGCACCGCCGGCAGCGGCTCCGGCGTCAGGCTAGGCCGGGGCGGCGGTGGTGGCGGTGGCGGCAGGGGCGGCAGGGTTGCGGGGGCGGCGCGCCCGTCCTTGGGCAGCCGACTCATGCCTAGGGTGTGCTGCTGCTGCTTTCGTTGCTTCCGGAAGTGGATCCGCTCGGCGGCCCTGCTGGACGGCGCGGCCGGCGGGGCCGGCGGGGCCGGCGGGGCCTCTGTGGTGCTGGCAGGTGTCGGCGGCTTCGGCGGCTTCGGTGGCTTCGGCGTCTTCGGTGAGGGCGGCGAAGACGCGGCCGGCGCCAACGACGTTAACGGCGTCGGCAGTGCCGCGAGGCATGCGCCGCTCGGCACCGCAGCGGCCACGCACGCCGCATCCGGCTGTTCACGCAGAAAAGGGGGTTAGCGACACGCCGGCAGCGAGGCGACGCACCTCGTCAGAGCGGCTGTTCGCTGTTGAACCTTTGTGATTTCCGGCGCAACATCATCTGCACCCTCCTCTGCGACGGCGTTATCCTTGCTGTCCGAGTCCCGGTGCTCGGGCTCAATGTCTGCATCGTCCTCAACGGCGGGCGGCGGCGTGGTGCATGCTGAGTGAACCAGCGTCGCTCCGCCGTCGTCGGGATCCTCTTTAGGTGGTTGGATTGGGTCCACGACGGCCTTTATCACGTCCTCGGCCTCCTTGTCGCGCATAGGGGGTGCGCTGTTTCGGCCGCTGCCAAGGTCCTCTCTGGTCTTCTTGGGGGCC